AAACCATACATTTTTAATTGAAGTTGTGAATTAAAATAAAAGTTTAATGCGATACTACAAATCCTAGAGAGAATATGTTATTGTAACTCCGCCTCCCTGCTGCAAAGACTCGTATAGATGACATTCAGGTATGTGAGCTTGTAGTAAAGGACGCCTGTAAACCACATTTTAGGCATATATGGAGATCCAGAAGGAAAACCAATTAAGATCTTTCTCCAGCCCTTACCAGATTGAAAGTGACTCAGTGGAATAATGTCGCCCCTCTTTTGAGAAGCACACAGCGGGAGCTTTCTGCTCATTTCTTTCTCTTTTCCCTCCTGCAGGAGAATGACAGCCCATACAGGCGCTTGAGGCTTGAAATCCTGGCATGCCAATTTTCATCAGTGCAAAAAGCTGTGCTCCGAGTGAAATTGGAAAGCTTTTCTTTCTTTTCTTTTGACAGAGGCAAAATTGTTTCTACACGCATCTCAAAGATTAATGAGAAAAATGACCGACCCCTGATCACTGACTGATAATGATTAACTCATTGGGTGAATAATTTCATGGAAGACTTGACTCCATCAAAAGTAGAATGAGTGTCGCCTGACCCGTCTCACATCTTCCACTCTGAGTCTGAGAGTCTACCATCTGGCAGATGATACAGAGTCCCCCGATGTGGCGCTGAACTGCTTTAAAAACGCTTTACTTTAGTACACATTTCAATCAAAAATCAGAATAATGCATAGGGCTGTGTGGGTTGTGCAATAACATCATGGTGTTCCCATCCCATTTTTTTTTATATTTGTCACATTGAGGAAAAATAAGGAAACCAATTGCAGAAAACCAAAACAATATTTATTAAACAAAAAAAACAAAAAAGTCCAAAACCAAAAACGTACTTTCTTAACAAAAAGATCCAAAGAAGAAATAAACCACGGGTAAGATCTGACACAGGTAAAAAACTAGCATAGACCAACGACCGACTATGAACTGAACACAAGAAGGAAGGAACACTGAGACTAATTAGACTGAGTAATCAAACACTGGTGAGACTAACGACACAGGTGAGGACAATCAGGACGATCAGGACCGAAGGGAAAACACACACACAGAGGCAGAGAAATGCAAGACAAGAACCACTGAGGACAGGAACTACAAAACAAATCCAGAAACACTAAAGACACACAGAACTCAAGAATTTAACAATATAGGCGACACTAGAAAAAACAGAAACCTTACACTAAGGTGGAAACACTAAGGACTACTAGGAAACATTAAGACAAAAACAGGAAAGAGAAAGAAACCAGATGCACATTGCAGACTCTGAACAGTGACCAGAAGGTTTGCCATGAACTGAATTAATCATTTAGTAGTTTAAGATTTAAAATGTTCCATTCGCTTAAGTGCTAGATTTGTAGATAACCTCACTATTAGCAAACAATATGTCACTATGTACCGACAACGTGTTGCTGCAAGCTGCCAAAATGATTGGTATTGGATGGTTTAATGAATATGATAAAGCCAGAGTTTACCTATAAGCCGATAAAAGGACATTTTGTTGATCAACATGCAAAGTGGATTTTGTTACCTAGAGACGGGCAAAACATCAGCCTGGCTGCGTCAGATCTTAAAGGCCTGTGTCCAACGTCTTCAATTTCTGAGTGCTTCTCAACTGTTGCTAGGTTACCAAAGTGCGCTCAAGGCACTTCTACTTTCCTGGGTAGCGGTCGTAAGAACAGTTTTAAATAGCGCCATATGATTAATATATATATTTTTTTTATTTTAGGAATTTTCACCTGGAAAACTTTGCACCAGCAGCAGTTCTGAACCTGGAAAATGTGCCCCCAAAAAGATGAGACTGATGAGAACAAACAAGAGCAAACATGGCCAAAAAATAAATATGGCATTAGGGGACACAGGCCCTAATGCTAAGCTAAGTTAAGCTTACAGTTAGCTGCCTCTAGCGTTGTATTAGAAAGATCCCAAAGTGGCCAGAGGCAGGTTGAGAATTCATGAAGACATGTTGTTGACCATGGACGCTGCAACTAATAAAGTGGTCAGACAAAAAACTAATCTTGACACTTAAGGAGTTTAAATCAAAAATGTGAATATCTTTATGGCTGCAACTTTCAGTCCTTCCCTCCCTTCACTTGGTTAATTCTCTGCTTCTGCTGCATCAGATTGACACCACTGCGAGGGAATGAAACTCAGAATCAAGAAAAACCTGTCAAGAGGAAGTGGAGGTGATTCAACCGAGGACAATTCTCCTCACCTTCCAAATCTGCTGTTGTGCAGCTGAGCCCTGCGGCGACCTGCAGGCAGTGCTTCCCTTCCAGAAGATATGCAGCAGCAACATGTCCGACCAAGTTATGGAGAAGGCAAAGAACAGCATTTAATCATCCATTAAAAAGAAAGAAAGCAGGAGGAATCATTGCAGCAGAAACATCTGTGGCGCTGAGATAAAACGGAGAGTACGTTACAGAGAAAATAAATGAGTGACAGATGATGACTTGTGGACCCGAACCTGGTAGAAGAATTTTACTCACTGTCACTGTGGGAATAATGGCCTGCAATGAATCGCGCTGCAGACTTGTAAAATGGAAAACATAATAACCAGAGTGAATGGAACTGCACATTTCTGCTGCGCTGTAAACATCCTCTCTACAGACTCCATGTGTTTCAGGAGGCTGGGGCTTTTTTTTTTTTTCTGAAGTGACATTGAATGAAAAATGATGCACATACAGTAGAGCTCAATTTGCTGACGGTTTAAAGGTGCTTACACCCATGTGGAGGGATGAAAAAGATTCACACGTATATGCTCATACGTTCCAGCCGTAGATCATAGTAAGTGTTATCTCACTAGAGAGCAGGTTCGATTAAAGGGGCAATTCCTCTCAAAGATTACCACGGCTAAACAGAATCTGCAATTTATTATAAGGCTCCAAGAGAGGGACCTGTATATACTGAATTTGTTTTATAGCTCTGTCACACATACAAAGTGGACTGGGATGGATATTCCTCCCCTGTTGCATCGTCAATATAACATGTCTGCAACTTCAGCTACAGTGGAAAATCTCATTCCACAATTTGTGCTGTGCAATAAAATGTGGAGGCCCGATTAAGAAAATGCATTAAATGTTATTAGCATTCCTCCTCCATGTGTGTTTGGGAGATAGTCTATTTACATGTCAGTGAAGTTTATTAAGTTCTTCAAGTATCCAGCACTCGAAAATTCAAGGGCTTATTCATGAAAGACAAATCTGCTGTCACTGACTAAACAAAACAGCCGCTCAATCAAATGTATCTTCATCGGTTCACAAGCTCTGTTTACACTTTCATGTAGAGGGGACCGAGTTTGATGGAAGTACTCACGGTATCTTGAAATCATTTATATTTTTCCACATGAAGCGCAATGTGGGTTTAATGACATTCTGGTGCTGAATATCACCCCAGAAGTAACAATCGTTTATAGATGATTGATGTCGAGTCGGAAGAGGAGAGTCGAGGTAAAGAGAGCAACATGGAAATGCTCCTGGAGAAACAAGGACTATCATCAGGATTCATTCATTCATTCAGCATCACACACAATAGAATGGACGCACAAGAGTTACAAAATCAGGCAAAGATGAGTTGAATTTAAAAGGAGGGGAGGGGGAGGAAGGAAGATGTTTAAGGCTTTAATTTATTTTGTCTTTCTTTTTTATGTATATAGCCCAATCTCTTCATTTACACATTCACCTCCCAATAATCTTCAAACCATGCCCCCAACACTCACTTGTCCTGTACTGCATGTTCTGCATCAATAAATTTAAAAAAAAGGATTCACTTTAGCGGAATTTTGGCATACACCACTGTAAAGACAGTTTAATATGTCATGTAATGTGGCTGTAGTCTAGTGGTTATGTTGTGGGCCCATGTACAGCGGCCATGGGTTTGAGTCTGACCTCTGCCCTTTGTTGCACATCATCCCCGTACTCTCTCCTCCTCCAACATTTCCTGTCTCTCTTCAGCTGGTAACGCGATCTAACTGTTGTATTTATTCTCTATGAAATAAATATAGTATGACACATGTGGCGACCAGCTAAGAATAAAACTCCTGCTTAAGTCTTTATCAGCAGTCCTGCTTTGCACCACATCGTCTCATCTCTGCACAAAGACACACCCACAGGAAGTCTTCAAGTCGACTTCGATTCAAACTGAGAATATGCCTGGTTTATCTTTACGTTTAGAAAATCTCAAAATTTCACTTGATCAAGTTTAGTAATTTTCCCACCCGTGGTTTTTGTCTCCCTGTGGAGCCCCGGCACAGTTCATACGTCTTTAAATGGATCTCTACTGCTCTCTGGTGGACTCAGGCGGTACTGGGCCTTCTGACCACTTCAGGACAGGTGAAGGTGCAGATGCAGGATTTTTCTTCTTCATGTTTGAGTTAATTATTTAAAGCTTTATCGTCCTGAACGCTTTTGAAGCTTTCAATAATACATTCCCACATTTTTCCAAACGAACGATGTAATCCCATTGGCTTTAAGGAAATAAAAAATAGGATTGTAACGCATTTATTTCATAATTTCCTTTATTCAATATCAGATCATTATTTACAACACATCAGCTGCAACTGCAATTAATAAAACAGTCTTTAATATTATTACATTTGAATCAGTGCACATCGACAGTCAGCCTAAATCTGTCTTGAAAAATAAAAAAAAACATCTCTGCGCACATTGTGTTCTGGCTGGTAACGCATGAGCGCAGAAAAAAAAAATATTTCTCACACTTACAGGATACGCATGCGCAGAGAGAAAACCTACTGGTTTGTGTCAAATAGAGGCAGACGGATGTGATCGAGCCTAAAAATCACCTTTATTCTGGCATTCATGGTGACACAGTGAGTACGCCTTTATATTCGACTTTTAACGGTGGTAAAATCAGCATGTCTTCTCGTGTTTTTATGCATTTTTGTTTTGGGGAGGGTGGGGGGGGGGATAAAACATATAATTCATCAGGATGCAGTGAGGCTGTTGCATGAAGCATCTTCATGTGGATATTCCAGCAGGCAGAAACAGGATTCATCTTCATACCGTGCAAACACACTGCACTGACATCTCGCTGAACAAACACAATCTGATCATTTGCACGTCCGCTGCTTTTTACTTTATGAGGAAAAACATCCTAAAATGATCAGCTTTTCTGATCAAATAATTAGATGATGTTTCTATAAACGGCTGCATGATGCTTGCTTCGACGTGACTGCTTGTCTTGAATCAACCATCATGTGAGTGTGAGTGTATCCTCCCGAGGATGCGACTGATGGATGCGATCGCTGCGGTCCATGAGTAAAACGCCTTGTCGCTATCATTATCGCTCATCCCTGATAGACGAGGAGGAAGCGGAGAAGAGAGGAAGGCGTTGTTGCTCATCACATTTTCTTGTCACATTGATGCTAAAACACTGGTAGGATATTTGTCATTTTCGGCTAATGATGCTTACAATGATGCGAGACCTGCACGTAAACGCATCATACCCTCGTGAAATGGTGAAAAATGTTTTTTTTTTTTTTTTTTTTTGTGGATGCATTGCACAGAAGTTGACCCCCACAGTTCATGCTTATGAAGTGCTCGTGCATTCCTCAAGACACCTTAGATATTGATGTTTAAAATTGGCTGATGTTATCAATAACAGTCACATTGATTGTGTCTTTTTGATTCATAGATCAGGGTTTGATTCATCCTCTTCTTTCAGGCCTTCTTGGATCATGTCAGATCTTTAATCTCCTGTGATTTCTTGGATTGAGTTTGTAAATCTGTGTGTGTGCGCGTGTGCATGTGTGTTATGCTCCATCTTAATGCGGTAATCTTCCAGTAAACCGCTCCCCTCTCACTCTGCTTGTCACCCGTCTCTCTTCCCCTCAGTCCATGGGCTCAGAGCGGCTGGAGATGCGTAAGAGACAGATGCAGGTTCACCAGGAAACAGCTGCCAGTGTCCTCCAAGCACGCCACAGAATGGGAAACACCCCCACCAACGCCTCAAACGCCTGCTGCTTCTGCTGGTGCTGCTGCTGTAGCTGCTCCTGGTAATGACACTCCTCAGCTTCCCACACAGCAGGCTGCAGACAGGAGACGTATGGTCTTAGGGGGGTGATAAGGGACGATTCACTGAGAGACAACTGGATACATGTCGCATGAAATGAGGATTTTCATCCTTCTGTCCATCCTTTATCTATAGCTAGATATTCTTCATCAGCTGTTAAAGCTGCATTCGCACATGCACTAAACTGCTGAAATGTCCCCAAATTGTCACAGACGCTGCATATGTGAACGCAAATTACCAAATTTTAGCCAGGCTTTTTTACAAGCCCCCTTGGAAAACACAGCAGGATGTGTTTACACAACCTGTCAGTGTACAGTGAGATTGTCGTGCACTTAATATGGCAACTTCATACTCTTCCTTGCTCGCCAGTATTTTATTTTCCTCTCTTTTGTTGAAACTGTGAATACGTCCAATAACAAGTAGCACTGATATAAAAGCAAAAACAGTCATAGCATCAGACTCTGCTTTGCCTGCCATCTTGGATATCTTGTAAACATTACGTCATGTCTTACCTCCTGAGGCTCAGCTGTGATTTGATTTGTCAGCAGTTAGCATTTGAATGAGCTTCAAATATTTTCCTTTAAACACTGAGTCCATGACGGATTCAGAACTTTCCACACCAGCAGCAGCCATCTTGGTTGTATATGAAAATACCCCTGGAGTATAGCCAGTGTGTAAAAGTAAAAGTATCCCCAGATAAGAATGGAAAGCTCTCTGAAGAGGAGATCTGAAACATACTTTACATGTCATTTATTTGTATGCCGGTTTGAGCCAACTGTAGCTTTACATTGCTCGTCAATACGACAAGTTTGTGAATGCAGTGCGGCAGAAAATGTTGTCACTGAATGAGATGTTTCAAAAAGACAACACTGGTAGATGCAGTATTTATATCCTTGAGTTATTATGCAGAACAAAACATAAAAACATTTAAACTTGGAGGAATTATATTAACAATCGTTTCCACTGCACCAATTTGGAACAAGTCTGTACAACTTATTTATTTTTATTTGAAAGGCCGCTGCAAAATCTGGTGATATATCCAATGCTAAAGGACGCCGCAGCGATCTGCATAAGTTTATAGAAAATGAAGATATCACTCATTTCATCATGTAGTCCTAAGCGCTCAGTTGTGAACACATCTTACATTCTGGCTCCATCCTCCCACTCACTGAACAACACAACGGCCCACGCTACGGTCGCCGAGAAAAACAGAAACACACAGGTCCTGTGACCCACGCTGGATCTCATTGGTCGGAGGCCTCGGGGGGTTATCTGTTTTGGAATCAACCGCCGTTTACCTCGGTTTCCTCTGAGAACAGTCGACCTGTTGTGTGCGGGACACGGCCATGTTAATTCACTGGGGATGAGTGATACACTTTGTCTCTACATCTATTATCATTCCATAGTATTTGTTGCAAGGCTGCGTCAGCCTCGTTCCCAGGTGGGATGGCTCACGTTGGACTCTCACCTGAACCAATTAATCTACAGCCAGCTGCTACATGGGCTGTTTTAATTACACACACAGGAAATACCCACAGGACGCTGCGGCCGGTTGACACAATTATCTATTATCGCAACCCTTCCCAACGTTCCCAGTAGTTCCTCCTGAAGCTACTTAAGGTGTTTTGTTATTTCAATAATACAAACAACATGCAATGCATCAAATATGAGAAATAGGCCCATAAAAAAGCAAAGCATGTTGACTGATATCCAAGTTAATTCCCTGCCCCACCAAAAAAGTGAATTTCGACTTGTTAACCAGAAAGGGCAATTTTGCATTTGTATTAAAATAAATTAGATATGGTGTGTTAATTCATGACTTTTGAAGAGCTTATAGGTGCCAATCTGGTCATGGACAAGATGGCTGTCTACCACTGAGTCTGGTTCTTCTGTTAACTCTAATGTGTGTCTCTAGTCTGTCTACAAACCCTCCAATGATGAGAAAAGTCCATCCGGTCCATCTTTCCCCTGCTCCACTTTTCAGAAAATGTGTGCTCAAACAGGCCGTTTGGAGATTTTCCCCTCATGACATCACAAAGGGCAGTAACCCCTCCCCCAGGTGGGTGATACTCCCACAGCTAGGTGTTTGTTCTGCCCTCTGAGTCTGCCTTCTCACTGTAAACAATAGGACATGGAGCGAGAAAGACAGAGACACCCAAGCCCTTCCAGAGAGGGGGCGTGGTCAGACACAGCTCATTTACATTTAAAGGTACAGACACAGAAACAGCCTGTTCTGAGCAGGGCTGAAATAGAGGGGTTTATAGGCATGATCAAATACAGGATCAGAGTAGATTTAGAACAAGAAACTTCACAGACATGTTTTGAGGAACTCTGAGACTTATTTAAACGGAAAAGGAGGATAATATGTGACCTTTAAGAAAATTACAAACTCTTATTGTTTCAACCTGACAATGACCACATATCCAAAGGGAGATCCATCTGAATATTTTTGGAGTTTGCTGCTCAAAGGAAAACCAACTTTCATTGTAAATGTTTTTTTCTTTTAGTTTGACTGTTCGGGGTGAGGATGAGACCGTACAGAGATCGTTTGAGCACAGAACAGAGGGAACCACAAACTGTGAAGAAAGGTAACAACTGAACACATGAAACAATTCCACAAGAGCACCGTGTGTCATTTGGTGTGCCGTTCCTTTCATATTAAATAAACAATAAATCAACTCATCTGTTCTCGTCCAGCCTGAAGCCTACTCTGGAAGACGCCCGCTCCTGGTCGATTTCGTTTGAGAAGGTGATGAAGAGTGCAGCCGGCCGCAGCTGCTTCAGACAGTTCCTCAGGACGGAGTTCAGCGAGGAGAACATGATGTTCTGGCTCGCCTGCGAGGATCTCAAAAAGGAGACCAACAAGACTGTGGTGGAGGAGAAAGTGCGTCAAATATACGAGGACTTCATCTCAATCCTGTCCCCTAAAGAGGTGAGACACCGAGGCGAGATATAAGCTAGAGAGCATTTTTTGTCGCTACGGCTGATTTCAACCTTTAAAGGAGCAATATGTAAGATATCGCTTGCCATGTGGTGGACACTGAAGCTTCAGTGTTTATCCAGCTCTGCATCGGTCTGTAAACCTTTCTGCGTTCTAACCTCTCTCCATTTTTCAAAAGCATCTCCAATATTGATCCTAGTTTGAGCACGTTTCTGCTCGTGGAGCTTATCAGAAACATGCAGAGGCTTTTTAGGTCGGGTACAATCACTTCTATCTGAACCAGTTCCCTTGCCCACTTCCATCACTGCAACACCTGTTGGTTTGACCTGATAACTGCTTTCATATCTGGCAAACCGAGGGGTGTCCAAAACGGCCGTGTGGGGGTGCCTTAAAACCGCCTACCTTCTCTGGTCCAAACAAATCCAGAGCATTCAGGACCAGAATCTAAAGTTAGAAGGAGGACATTCTGGCTGCTGCATTGTTGTCAGAGAAGCCAGCACTTCAACATAGCATGTTTCCTTAATGTCTGATCAGATAGTAAGCTCACTTTATCAGTGAATTCAGTAGATATCTTACTGATTGGTCCTTTAAGGGAGAGGTGTAGTTGTTGCTTTTTTTTAGTTCAGCAGCCTCTGACACCAAACAATCTCATTTAAAAATGGCCGACTCTACATTTAATGTCCAGCCTGTTCACATCTCACTGAGCTTCAACCTCTTATCTTCACGTCTCCTTTAGGTCAGTTTGGATTCCCGCGTTCGAGAGGTGATAAACCGCAACATGCTGGAGCCGACCTCGTGCACGTTTGACGACGCTCAGCAGCAGATCTACACGCTGATGCAGAGAGACTCGTACCCCCGCTTCATCAACTCCTCTGAGTACGCGGATCTGCTGAAGAACGTGGAGGAGCCCCCCCCTGAGCCGTAGACTCCAGAACCGCCACACACTGAACTTTTCAAAACGGCGCATGCGTCCCACCCGAAGGAGTTTTCCGTGGTGTGTTTTTCCTGCCGGAGTACAGAAAGACAGACACTTCTTTAGACTTGTCTTTATCCAGCTGTTACTGCTGTTTATTTACCCATGATTAGCTTGGAGCATACGAGAACAAATGCTACGTCCAGCACCGGTTACTTGTTCAAAAAACATATCTATATTTTTATATACTCCCAAGCGCTTGACATTGCACTTTTCTACCTTGTTTAATGAGGGACAGCATGTATCTGTGAGCACTGCATTTGTATTTAGGATTACTGAGCCTTAATGCATATCCAGTTCTTGTAGAAGCTAGTAGGTTTTATTTAACAGTAACTGAAGAAGAAGGAAAGTGCCTTGGAATAAGATCTTCTAAACTCGCACCTTTGGTCGAACAAAAACACGGTGCGACAAAGACTTCACATGTTGGTGCTTTCAGCTCTTCTCAAAGAACCGTTTTTACAACTCAATGAGCTGATACCCTTGGATAGAGCTTGTCTGTGTTTCAATACTGTGATATTAGTCATGAAATATTTACTTTAAATAAAACAGGGACGAAGAGAGTACTGGATACACGACCATGATGACCACTGATATATTTGTGTATTTACAAAAGGATCTTGTGTGAAATAGATATTTGAATTCTCACCAATCAAATAAAGCACAATCATATGTTGTGTCCTGCTGTTGTGTTTCCTCAGAATTATTTGTTCATATTATACAACAGTCCTGGGGGCTCCTGAGCTCTCGTAGGTTCCTCTGGATCGTTGGTGTGAAGGCCTGTTGCTGTGGAGACTCATCGGCAGCAGCCGCCATGCTGGAAATCCTGTCTCAGCCTAACTTTCAGTCAACCTAATGACAGACTGAGAGCTGGAGCTGAGGCGGGTTTTAAGCCTTGTGACAAACGGTTACATCTCGCCCACCTGTCGATCAGGTCAGCTACGCTCCTAACTATGGTAACACGTATCGTTTTCAAAATCAAAATAGAGGTGTTTAAAAAAGAAATCACCCCCCTACAGTGTGTGTCCATGATGACAATAACTAATCAGACCTATTAAATGTTTTGTACCAGGCTGTAAACATGTTAATTTATGCTGTTAAAAACTGGCTTTGTTGGCTGTCGTGTGTTTGAGACTTGCGGGGCTCCTGGAGCCAGCCTAGAGGCGTCACTGGGACTTTTCACAATTTGTATCACTCCTCCTCAACCTGGAGTTCTGAACACTTTTCATAGACATTTACAGCTAACAGTTTTTTTTTTATTCATCAATCTCAAAACTCAGAACCCCACAAACAGACTCTGATTTCACTGATTTCAGGATCAAATTTATTTATTTTAACATTCAAGTAAAGGTTCATACTACAAAGAAGTTGCTCTGTGGTAACCATGGACACCAACAGAGTAAAATAGAATGTTGTGGGTTGCTTGGCAACAGTCTAGTTTCAGTTAAACAGTGGAACTGGTTGATTTGATGGAGTTAAGAAATAATACTTCTGATGATTTTTACGTTTTCCATCACTATTTTCTGCTTCTATAAAGTGATATCACACCCGAGGTCGAGATGTTGTTCTGGATATCAGCCCTGCTGTGATTATCTTTCTACGAACCAATCACAGCAGTGCTGATATATTCAGTACATCACTCCCTCTCGTGATATTTATTAATTGTTCAAAACACATTTAAAGATGTTTCATTTATTGTAAACTGTTCATTATTTTAAGATGTAAAAATAATGTCCATCACATGCTAAAAAGTCTGGGTTCATATCTTTAATTTGGTTGTTGTGTGACAACTTTTCCACAACCCAAAAGTGTTTGATGCCATATTTAAAACAGACCCAAAAGTATCTGAAACAAGAAATGTTTGCATGAAAACACAAGTTAATTCATCAACAAATAAACTACAGACAACAATAAAAGAATTAACAGCCCATGTGTTTGTGAGATAGCATGTATTAAACCAATGATAGCATGTATTAAACCAACAAGTTTAGCCCTAGTTATTCCAGTACACGTACAAGTAAATGGCTTTACAATCAAGCAACTAGAGTCACTCTACTGTAACACTGATTGTGTGGATCCAGGTCAGGATGCAGCATCATTCCAGTCAGGCCTCTCCCTGGGCTAACGTGTAGCCACAGTCCCGCCTGGCTCTGTGAGTAGCAGCGTTGGTTTTTCATTGTCAAGTCAGTCAGTGATTCCTCGAGCCCTCTGAGCCCCAAAACACTCAGACGGAGCTGTGCATCATGTGTGGTAAATCCTGATTTCACAGATCAGTGATGGGAGGGAGCTGCTTCTCTATGAATCGCTTGACATCCACCATTTCCTGCAAAGATACAAAATAAAAGCTCATACAATAAAGAACAACACTAAGGCCTCGTGTCCACCTAGCCTTTATCCGGGCAGAAAAGCGATGGCCGTGCGCTCGGGATTGCTTGCATGAAGCGGTTGTGCGCTGAGAATAAAAGCACTGCACGTCCGTCCTGTCTCTATGACAACAGTCGTTGTGTTGACAACGACAGCTGTATAACTGACACTGCTCCGTTACTTTTTACTGCATGTTTTACATTTGAGATCACTTTTAGTCCAGCAGACATGGAGCAAAGAGGATTTGGGTACAAGACATGATCTATGGGAGGCAAAAATACAGGGAAGACCATACATCTGAAAAATAGCGCCGGTGACGTCAACAACATCTCAACTTTTCAACCTGAGCACTCTGAGCAGCCGGACAAAAAAGGCGGAGCGCTCGGAGAAAAGAGGCTGGGCAATGCCCTTTATGTCCCGACGGCTGTCTACTGCTTCAAAAGCTCTCTCCAAATTGAAAACAATTTAAAAAAGATGCCGGCGCTCAGAAAAAGAAAACCTTAGGTGGACGCAGGGCCTAAGGCCAGAATAGTGGAAGAGAAACTTAAACTCACTGACCTCTGGACAGGCGCTGTGAGGTAGACCCCGGTACGACTTAAAGGTGATGTTGGCTGGATTGATGAGGCTCTTCATCTTCTCTGCCGTCTGGCTGCCAAATATAAACGGAACCAGGGGGTCGGCATCGCCGTGGCACTGGAGGACATGCATGTCCTTGTTTGCACTGTTGGCAGAGGCCTGAGAATAGAGGCGATTAGGATTATACTAATTATCTGATTATGACGGATTATAGCAGCTTTCACACATGCACTGCACAGACTTCATTGGGATTTCCTGTAATTCAATTAAATTAGAAATTCTCAATCAAATTAACAAAGGGGGGATTTTATGTATTATTTGGAGCAACTAAAGATGACTTGTACTAAATTAAAGGTAAAACCAAAACAGATGATGAATCTGAATTTTTCCTTTAAGTTTCAGGATTTACGGATTTACCAAAAACTCTAAAAAAAAAACAGCCTGTCTGTTTTTTTTCTACCTGAGGGAAGGAGTTACGGAGAGGAAGCCAGCAGCTCAGAGCGACCACGCCGGCGAGCTTCTGTTGAGTCGTCAGAGCCGTGTAGAGAGACAGAGCTCCACCCTGAAAAAATAGAGAAGAAATGACAGAAAACGATGTAAGCTATGTGTAATAAGGATTCATTATTAAGTGCATACAGAAAACTGCTGCGTGTATGTGTTTGTGTGTGAGTAGGCGGACCTGATTGGTTGAATCAAGAATCTATCAATATTAGTTTTGACCTTGCGATATAAAGAATAGCTCAGGGTGTTTTGTGCTCCACTGCCAGTTGTTGGCACAGGCACAAGAACTTCTTGTAGTCTTTGCTGGTTGCCTGGCAACTGCTTAGAGCCAAGAAATAGTCCTGCACACAGCCCACCATCATAGGATGGGGGTTTTCTTACACTTTGGTTTCTCTTAAGAAGTCTTTATAATGTTTTTGTGTTTACCATTAAGTGTCTGCACACGCTTTTGTAATCAGAGCTAATACTGTATTATCATTATGACAAGCTGCACTATTTTAACTAGTTCAAACTAGATTAATCTCTTCAAATTGTGATCTTTGTCACAACAAAGTAGCATAACAAATTAATGAACATGTTTGCATTAAGTTGTTGTGCAATCCTGGTTTTTTAAGTGTACGACTTTGACATTTTATGACTCCTTCTCTGGAGACATACACAATGTATGCGTGTGTGTCTTTTACATTGGGCTATTTAAAAGTGTAAGGCACATAAGCAGTGATTCACAGCAAAAACAGCATTATGTAACACATCCTCTGTGTACATGCCACACTTACTTGTGAAAATCCACCCAGCATAATTCTGTGTGAAGGTATTCCATTCTTCACTTCTTGATCTATCAAGGCTTTAACTGCGGAGATATCAAAGAAAATACCTGACTTAGAAAATAATAACTTTTCTAAACAACGAACGTTAAGTTTGAATGAAATATAACAACGACTTACTGTTCTCCGACGCCCTTTTAATACCGCTCGAGTCTTCTTCTGCATCTGGGTTTAACCCATAGATATCAAACCTGAAAATGAGCATGAGAAAAACAACAGCATGTGAGGCTCCTTTTCTATCACACAGTCTTTACAAACATGTTCAATCAGTGCAACACTTACCAGGAAGGCATTGACATTCTCATGTTCAACGAGACAGGCTGCGTGGGCCTGAAATGATTAGAGAAACAAAACATGACGTTGTAATTGTAAGTGATAGATAGTGATAAATAGTTAGATACTTTATTGATCCAGAGGAACGCAGCTTACAAGACACACATGACATGATGTATTTGTAACATCTAAAAGCACCCTCTGCCCCCTCTTTTGATCAGAATTAAACTCACACAATTAAAAATTAGACCTATAACCAAAACAAAATCTACATAACCCGTGCAGGAATTAAAATAAAAACAGGGTTCAACAAAGAGAATGACACCTTTAAATACAAATTACTGTGGATTACAGACAGTGTAAGATGTTCAGATTGTGTTGCCAAACTTTTCCAACACTTGCAGATGTTCTGAGTAACGACACTTACGCATGAGGGCAGATGTATTTCACATGTGGTATCCTGATGCCTGCAAAAGCTTCTGCCCAGCCATGCCTGTTGGAGAGGACAAAATCAGAGCTCTGCTGATGCATCCTTATGCATTTATAAAGTAACAGAAAAGAGGTGTCGTTGCATACCCAGTGTCTCCAAGGCCATGGAGAAATATCACCTGCAAAGAAAGACATTGAAGAGTTGAGAAGTGGAGGCTGTGAATGTCAGAATTTCTGCAGTAAATTTGGTGTAAAATCTGCATAGTTCTCGTGTTTCCAGGTGAACTCACCGCTGCAGTGGCTTTCCGGGCAGCAGGCACGATGGCAGGTAAAGGCGCTGACATGTTATTGCCGCACATACAGCGCTGAGGCAGCTGATATGAGTAACAAGTCAGCTACGACACCACCTGAGCTGAGTTTTCAAACTTCGTTCAACGGTGGAGGTCAAGGTGCCACCGTCTCCAATCACAACTGGCAGCCTTCAATTTGTCTTTGGGAAGTTGAAATCTTCAGAAAAAACACACACACACACACACAGTACACCTCCGGATCCAAGGAGAAAAACAAACCTCACCAGCGCGCTACTGGTCCGTAGCATTGGCACCCTTCGAAGTCCCGCCTCCTCCGGTAAGTGATTGGCGCTCGCTAGAGGTCCTTTACAAATGCAGAGCGACGATTGGTTAGTTGAACTGTCAATGTGCTCTGCTTTA